TAATTTAGAAACGTCCCCGTCTATTTAACTTTTCCTAAAATGTTTTTAAAAATTCACCCAATTTAAAATAACCAAGCAAAATAACTAATAGTTTAAATTTAGCAATCTAACCGTACCAAATTACAAACCCAGGCAACCTCACTTAACTCTAATATAATCTAATTAATTTTAAACCTAAAAATTTTGAATAATAATTTGAGATTAGTTTTGGGCTATTTTAAATTATTTTATTATTTTAGATAATGTTGGGTTAAAAACGTTCAGCAATAGACGCTCCTACGAGCGTGAAAAACGAAGGGTGTTTTTGAGGGGGAAGGCAGAGAAAGTGACATTCTGTAGTCTAAAAGACTTTGTTTTTGCGAAAAGGAAGTAGTCTTGGAGTGGTCAGTCCAGCCTTGAGACGTAACCTTCATTCTTTCCCGGTGGTGATGATTATTCCGGCTGCGTTTGGTAATTATTTTTTGGGTTTCTCATTTTTTCCCGTTCTCACGGAAACTTTCCCGTTTTTTTTTTCAGTTTTTTGACATTTTTTAAAAGTTCTTCTTTTATTTTGTGGTTGGTGTGTGTTGGGGGGGGGGACTGTGTCTTCTGACGCTAGTGACTTCAAATTTGACCCAAAGTGAAATTTCCCCTTTAAAAGGATTCGATTAAATATATTTTAATTAAAAGTTTTACACATATCCACCCCTCTCCCCACACACATATATATTGATGTAATATATATACATTTTCCCGGCGGAAGGGTTTTGTGTGTCGGTAAAACCCAAAACCCGGAACCTGGGTAGAGTAAATTTCCCGGGGAAGAGTTTGATAAAAACCATCCCCCCGGCCGGGATTTTGAACCCGCGGCATAGAGTCTCAAAACGGTTTGATTGCAATGTTTATTAAAATAATATAATACACACAATTATTTTTATACTTCAGTATGTTAAGATGATTGTGGTTTCAGACCGACGCGTGACAGAGAAGGGAGATTCTGGTGCGCCGTAAACTTGTCTCAACCTCAGTCTCCCCCCCTCCCCGATCCATGAAACTCTAAACCCGAGAACAACACTCTGGTGGGCACCTTCCTCCCTTTCCATGAGTATCTCCTCCAAAACTTTGAAGCCTCCATAGATTTTGAAAACTCTCAGATCTTTTGGGAAACTCTTTTCCAGATCTATAAATCTTTTCGAAACCATCCTAGCCTTTGAATCCTTTACTTCTTTAAAAATAACATCTCCATTGTGTTTTTTAAATTAATGAAAAGTATTTAAAATTATTTAGGTTTTAATTGGCAAAAATTTTAAATTTCGTTGTTATAATAGGTTTAAGTAAGCTTTCTAAATTTTTGGTTTAAAACAAATTTTTTTTCACTTTAACATAAAAAAATTTTTTAAACGTATATAAATTTTTCGAGAGGATTTTTTTTAAATGAATTCTTTTCTAATTGACCAATTATAACTATTCAACACGACACACACACACACACAACCACCACACACACATCAAATATATTATAAAATATATATATATTATATATATATAATTTTTATATATATATATAAATATATATATAAAAATAAAATTAAATGTATATATTTTGAAAAAAAAAAAAAGACAATCAAAATCTTTTTTTCGTCAACCATTTTGACTTGAACCACCCTTATGTGGTTAATGTACCGAAATACTCATCGACACACCCCCCAGACCTTTTCGGTTTTCACTCTGTTTTGTCAACCACTTTAGTTGTGCTCCCCCTTGTACCTCATCTGGTTGACCTTTGTACGTTTTCACCTGATTGTACTGGTTGCACTACATTTTTTTTATTTTGATTATTTGGTTAATGGGGGTGTGGGCAATTGATTATTCAGGGACACAACGTTAATGTATGTGACCACCTCAAAAAAATACTAAAAAAAAATTGGCCCTGTAACTCCTGGTGAACAAAACGCCCTTTAATAAAATGCTATAAACTTGTCAAAAAATATGTTTGCCGGTTAGAATCCCGGTAACTTTAATACGGGGACAAATTCACTTGCAATTTGTCCAGTGGAAAAGCAGAGTCAAACCTGTTGGTCCAGTTCCACTCTGCAGACTGTGACATGGCCTTTTGTTGCTGCGGGCTCGAAACCTGACATCAGGGGTTTGATCCAGAAAAGCCATTTTTTTTAAAAAGGCAGGCAGGGAAAGGGGGTTTGGCGAAATGGCTTGTAGTTTTAAAAAATTGGCGGAAAAGGTTCAAAGCGCGTTCCACTCAATGATTTTATTTTTTTTAGCAAAAATATGTGTGAAAAAGATATGCTGGGTCTTAAGACAGTGGTTAAGGAGACATTCGCTCACCAGAGGCTACTTCATTAATACATAAAGCGAGGACAACCCACAGTCCCACAAGAAAACTGTACCCGTTTCTCCCCGTTATATAATTCTTGCTGGGGAAACTACTTAATAAATTTTTGTGTACATACTGAACGGTGTTAAGCACAATTTTTTTTCAATCAGTGACAAAAAAATATAAAGGAATACGCGTAGGTCTCTGGTCCTGATAACAAGTCCTACTCCACGCAGCCATTCCACTCATAATAAGCAAGAAGAAGGTAGCACTGCTGAAGACCACTAACCCTTTTTAGACAAATCCACTCAATTAAAGGGTTTGGGATATTTATCCGCTATGGTTAAGGGTTTCCAAAAATTTTTTTTATGGTGCTGCCTGCATATGACAGACACAAGAATTTCCCTTCAGGTTTTTTGTAATAGTATATTTATCAACGCATTGGAAAAATATTTAAAAAGGAAGATAAAATTTCCTTTTTCCTCGTAGGGGAAATTTTGCAAAAAGGGTTTGACGGGGCGAAAAGATTGAGGTATACAAGTTAAAAAATGGACAAAAAATAGAGTAAAAAAAAAGGTGTGTGAAACAAAAGTGCAGAAGTTAAGCTCTTTTTTCCCCAAAAGTTTTGCCTAACAGAGGTTTCTTCAGTAGACTACAGAAAAGTTTGCACCAGGGGTAAGTCTTTATATTTCTCCTTGTGCAACTTTTCTGTACCCCTACTGAAGGAGCCTCTGTGTAGGCAAACTTTCGGAATAGGATGCTCAAATTTTTGGAATTCCCTTTCTTACCTTTCGGGTTTGTATACCATTTTAATTTTCATTCATAAATAAGATGCGGAGGATATCTAAACAAAATTGAATTCATGTTATATTATAAGATCAGCGATACATTACCAGGTTTGAGAATTAAAGTTGGTTGAATTCAGATTAAGAATGAATAATAAAAATTACTGGGATCATAACTGTTCTAGATGAGTGGAACAAACTACTAGCCAGTGTCATTAAAGTTAACATCTTGCTCATCCTGCCATCTTTATCAATAATTTGTCTGTTCTTCCTCCTCAATTACTCTTATATACCTCTGCTTCTCCATCGCGTCTCTTTCTCTCTTCTCCTACTCCCTCTCCTCCCACTTCTTTTCTTCCATCTCTCCCTCTTCCTCATACCTCTTCTACCTCCGATCGAATTCTCCATTCGTAGATGTATCAAATTCTTTCACCACATTTCCTCTTCCTAGCTCCTTCGGTATATTAGATTCTGAGTCATGTTGAGGTAACGGACTCATCCTAGCGCTGCTGTTGCGGTCCGCCACAGGACCAACCTAATCAACCCCACTCAAACCTGCCTTATCATAACGAGCCCTTGGAAACACCGTCTCGCCCCTTCTCTGCCGTATTACTGACAAGAAAACCCAAGTTAAGTGATGGGAGTGTTGGAATAACTTAATTAGCTCTTATTCCTGATCTTGTAAAATATTATGTAGAACTTGATGTGGGTTTAATGACACTAAATACAGAATAAACTTTCATTGGGACTACTTTTCTCTCAGCACAGAGCACTGACTAGACTAGAATGTCGTTCTAGTCAGCGTAGTCTAGTCTAGGTTAGTGTAGTGTAGTCTAGTCTAGGTTATTCTGTATATGGAGTCTACATACATACCAGCATACGGCTATATATCTAGTTCAAGGTAGCCACACACACTGGGGTGTGTTAATGTTAGTAACGAGAGAACTCTTTAACTCCTGCAGAAGAACAAGATGGAACTGGAGCTGGAAAGGCCCCTGGAGCAGCGGGAGAAAGACCGACAACGCCAGCGAGAGATGCAGCTACTGAAGAGGAAAAACACAGAACTCGCCTCCATCACCAGGAAGCTGGAGGAGAAGGTCAAGAATCTTGAGAAGGTAAACAAATAACGAATCAAACACTCGTGCGACATCTGGGTATTTAATTTTAAACACATTAAGTCAGCCAGTAGCTTCATCAGTTTAATACAGAGATTATATACAGACAAGTGGAAGATGAGGTAATCAGTCCCTCAGCCTTGCAGAATTGTAAACGGTACACAGTGGTAAACGAGACACTCAAACACTCAGCCTTGAAGGTATTCAGTACTCTGACCAGTCAACTTGTCAGTACTGTTCACCACTGATGATAGACTCGTATGAGTTTTGAATGGCCCATAAAACAAGGAGACAGAAGAAAGAATAATTTATTTTATATATGTTTGAGCTAAGTGAGGTCCTCTTCAGTAGATATCTGTAGTAAATAGTTGGTGGCCTGGTGGCTAAAGCTCCCGCTTCACACACGGAGGGCCCGGGTTCGATTCCCGGCGGGTGGAAACATTCCGACACGTTTCCTTACACCTGTTGTCCTGTTCACCTAGCAGCAAATAGGTACCTGGGTGTTAGTCGACTGGTGTGGGTCGCATCCTGGGGGACAAGATTAAGGACCCCAATGGAAATAAGTTACAGTCCTCGATGACGCACTGACTTTCTTGGGTTATCTTGGGTGGCTAACCCTCCGGGGTTAAAAATCCGAACGAAATCTTATCTTATAGTAAGGAGCTGACAAGCTTGTATTGTAAAACACTCTGAGCAAGGAGAGCCCTTTCCATCGGGGCATTTTGCCCTTTTTATGGCAAAATGTCCTTGATGAAGCCCTATTTAGGGCTTTGTCATGTCTCTATAGCTCTGATAGGGAACTTTAGAGCGAAGTAGCGAAGTGTTTCTAATTAGGAGGCTTTGCTTAGTTTGTTTTACATGAAACTGAGATATCTGCTGAAGAGGATCTCGGCTGGGAGTCGAAATATTTTAACTTAAAATATCAAATGTTAAAATTTGCATAATTTGTCACCGGTGTAAGAACACCTTAGTGCTCTCTGAACCATTGTACGAATTTATATTATTGTCTGTAAAATTATATATAGATTTCCCCAATAAAACCTAATCAAGGTTACATACACTGGGAAGTTTGTATCTCTTATACATTGAAAGTTTAATCCATAAAATAGGGACTAATGTAAACTTCCAGTGTATACACAGTGTATCCTTTGTTGGAGGTTGGAGAATAGGTATAATAACATCAAGTAGATAAACCACATTTGAAAAAAATAGGTATTTGTTGAGGAAACTTTTCGCCACCATTGAATTGAGTAAATTTATTTAGGCACAGGTACACATAAGTACATAGTCCATGAAATCGTAATGACACGTTTGCAAACAAACCAAGGTACTGGCGGAGACTGAACTTGCGGCGAGTTGTTCTGGAGTTTTAAGACTCGCTTTGAGTTCAATCCCCGCCCATATCGTGGTTTATCATATATGGTGTAAGTTACTTTAGATAACCCTCCAAAAAAAACTCAAACATTCCAAAACTTTTTCTTAATAAATGCCTTGAACTGCACATATATGTGGTGATTTGTGGGGTGCAGGTGACATGAAGCATTGATGAACATTGTGCCTGCAAATCAAATCTCGACTAATTCATTTCCTTCAGAAAACGAAGGAGTCCCCAGCCACGGAGCGTAGGAATCTGCTGTTGGCTCGTCAGAGGGAGAAGGAAGCTCTCTACGAGAAGCAATTGCTGGAAAGAGACAAGGAGATCCAGAGACTGAAGCAGAGAATGAAGGAGCTCGTCAGGAAGCTCACTGGCAAGAACGGAGAGGTACGTTGAAGGTGTTTTGTTCGTCAGGAGCCAGAAAAATAGTAATTCAGATCCTCGTTAAGAAGGAAGAACCTTCATTTTTCTGCATTTCAAAAACATGTGGAGTATTTTTGTTTTAAACATATTAGCCGTCTCCCACGCAAGTAGGGTGATCCAAATACAGAAAACTCGTACATTACAACTCGTGCCATAGCTGTCTTGTCAGATATGTGCACACATCACAAATCAAATGACCCGCCCAACAGCATCTCCTCTCCTCCTCAGAGTGCAGAGACAGTATGCAGTTCAAAGGGTCATTGAATACTTGTAAGAACAAGAGCTAGAAGGAGCACTGCTGCAGACTTGCTGCTCTACTCGCAACACTCCTTAGTGTCCCTGACACTGATTTAACTGATGACCTGTTAAGTGGTTAAGCATCTTCCGGCCTACCCTAGCTAGGTTTTTAACCTCATTTAAAAAAAAAAAAAACAGTGAGTCGCAACAAAGTTGAATAATAGTGTTTCAATGAATTGAGAGGCACAGTAAGTGAGGACAGGTATATATATTTAACTTTTAGAAAAGATTTCCAATCAGATACAAAACATAAATAAGTTTCTTATGGCTAAACATGGAATAACAACATAATAATAATAACTAATAATTTCTGCAAGCATATTAGTGTATTCAGATCATAAGTGACATTAATGATATATTACTGTACAGAAAACCGCTTGTTATGCAGAGAATTTCGGGTATTTTAGGTCAGTTTTGTCCCAGGATACCACCCACACCAGTCGGCTAACACCTAGGTAGCCATTTTATACTAATGGTTGAAGATAGACAGCAGGTATCTTATGGAAACACGTCCTAATGTTATCCAGCCGTACAGGAGATTCGAACTCCAGACCTCAGTGTGTGAAGCGAGTGCTCTAGCGACCGAGCTACTGCCCGAAATGCTCTAGCATGATAGTGGTTTTCTTTGTACCAATCAAATTACGAAATGTAAACACACATTGTAGACTTTGCAAAGAAATAAATTTTTTTGTTTTGTATGTAAGATAGTTTTAACCACCAAGAAACCCCTCTCGCGTGCCCTAAGTACACTATGGAGGAGGAGCTTGGACATGGGTGAAATTCCACAGTCACTTAAAACAACGGATATAGCCCCACTCCATAAAGGTGGCAGCTCTGACGTCCCACATCATAAAAATCTTTGAAAGAGTGCTAAGAAGCAAGATTGCAAATCACCTGGATTCTCAAAATCTGCACAATCCAGGGCAACATGGGTTCAGGGCAGGTCGCTCCTGCCTCTCACAACTACTGGATCACTATGACATGGCCTTGGATGCACTGGAAGAAAATCAGAATGCAGATGTAATATACACAGACTTTGCAAAAGCATTTGACAAATGCGATCATGGCGTAATAGCCCATAAAATACGTGCTAAAGGAATAACTGGGAAAGTGGGGAGATGGATCTTCAACTTCCTAACAAATCGAACACAAAGAGTAGTGAGTGGTCAACAGAGTTAAATCGGAGGCTGCCATAGTGAAGAGCTCTGTTCCACAAGGCACAGTACTCGCCCCCATCTTATTCCTTATCCTCATATCAGACATAAACAGAAATATACACCACAGCACCGTATCATCCTTTGCGGATGATACTAGGATCTGCATGAGGCTGTCATCTGCTGAGGACGCGGTTAACCTCCAAGAAGATATAAACAAAGTTTTCCAGTGGGCAACGGTAAACAATATGATGTTCAATGAGGACAAATTCCAACTACTCCGTTATGGAAAACTGGAGGAGATAATATCTATAACAGAGTATACTACTGACTCCGGCCATACAATAGAGCAGAAAAATAATGTAAGGGACCTGGGAGTAGTAATGTCTGAGGATCTCACTTTCAAGGATCACAACAGTGCCACGATCGCACTGCAAAGAAAATGATAGGATGGATAATGAGAACTTTCAAAACGAGAGATGCCAAGCCCATGATGATCCTTTTCAAATCACTTGTTCTCTCTAGGCTGGAATACTGCTGTACATTAACATCTCCATTCAAAGCAGGTGAAATCGCAGATCTAGAGAGTGTACAGAGCTCCTTTACTGCACGTATAAGTTCTGTCAAGCACCTTAACTACTGGGAACGCTTGGAAGCACTTGACTTGTACTCGTTGGAACGCAGGAGGAAGAGATATATCATAATCTACACTTGGAAAATCATGGAAGGAATGGTCCCAAATCTGCACACAGAAATCACTCCCTACGAAAGTAAAAGACTGGGCAGGCGATGCAAAATGCCCCCAATAAAAGTAGGGCGCCATTGGTACACTAAGGGAAAACACCATAAGTGTCCGGGGCCCAAAACTGTTCAACAGCCTCCCATCAAGCATTAGGGGAATTGCCAATAAATCCCTGGCTGCCTTCAAGAGAGAGCTGGACAGATACCTAAAGTCAGTGCCGGATCAGCCGGGCTGTGGCTCGTACGTTGGACTGCATGCGGCCAGCAGTAACAGCCTAGTTAATCAGGCCCTGATCCATCGGGAGGCCTGGTCATGGACCGGGCCGCGGGGGCGTTGATCCCCGGAATAACCTCCAGGTAACCAAAACTTTGTGCAGTGGTGCCCAAACTTACTTTACTTATTTATTTAGTTGACTTACAGCAAGTGCTATAAAAATAGCTTTAACACACTCCGTCATGAAATCATCAAGAACTAGGTTATTCGGTACTATTTTAGGTGGTATATCCCCTCATGGAAGGTTCCTTGATGTTGGTGAGGGGCTCTTGATTTAGGGAATTGAATCTGTTCTCCAGTTCCCCGAATTAAGCCTGAATGCCTTCCACATCCCCCCCTGGGCGCTGTATAATCCTACGGGTTTAGCGCTTCCCCCTTGATTATAATAATAATTAGCTGGTATATGCATGTGAAAAACTGAACTGACTTTCAATTGCAATTTACGGACAAAGTGAGAAAAATCTGAAAATATTACGTAGAGAATTTATGATTTGTAAGGAGACGACAGTTTTTTTACTAAAGTTAGGCAGCGTCTATGGGCGTTTGATTTTCGTTGCTTATCCTGGGTTACTAGCTGATTTTCAATGGCTATCCGGAATTACTAGTCAATATTCGTTATCCTGGGCTACTAACTGATTTTGATTGGTTATCCTGGGTTACTAGCCGATTCTGATTGGCTATCCTGGGTTAGTAGCCAATTTTATTTGGTTATACTGGCTTAGTAGCCCGGTGGCCTGGTGGCTAAAGCTCCCGCTTCACACACGGAGGGCCCGGGTTCGATTCCCGACGGGTGGAAACATTTCGACACGTTTCCTTACACATGTTGTCCTGTTCACCTAGCAGCAAATAGGTACCTGGGTGTTAGTCGACTGGTGTGGGTCGCATCCTGGGGGACAAGATTAAGGACCCCAATGGAAATAAGTTACAGTCCTCGATGACGCACTGACTTTCTTGGGTTATCCTGGGTGGTTAACCCTCCGGGGTTAAAAATCCGGGGTTAAAAATCCGAACGAAATCTTATCTTATCTAACCTAGGTAAATAAAGCCAACAATAGCTTCCTATCTTTATTTTAAGCCTCCCCTAAAATACAGTTGAATACACTTTCGTTTTGATCAATGAAATATCATCGTTTTCTATGAGTTATTTAATGTGTTGGGAGGCTAATATAGGTATAACGTGGATTAATTAGTATGTTTATTCACTTATACACAGTTAAGTAAATAAGTAAGAAAGTTAACTTTTATCTAGGTTTTGTGTAAATAGCATACAATTATATGTTTGATTGGCTGGAAAGTCTAAACGACACACACACACACACACACACACACGGGGCAGACTAGCTCAAATAACCAATATGAAAATATAGTAAAATAAAATATATATATATATATATATATATATATATATATAATATTATATATATATATATTATATATTATAATATATATATATATCATGCCAGCAGAAGGCTTCGTAAGATGACCAAAAGGTTCTAGCTGTGGGTCATCATATGATTAAGACCCACATCAGGAAACACTTATCCTGTTTCCTAACAAACTTTACCAAACATGAAACATATATTACTGTGATACAGTCTCAGATTTATGAGTTTATTTCATTCACTATTTTACTGATTTAAGATAGGCTTTAAACCGACTAGTCATTTCCATTGGGGATCTTTGTCAATTTACATAGGCAGACATATATATCGTCAGTTATAAAGAGATACAATACCCCCTTGTAAGCTGCCTCCCTGGCAAGTACTGATGATACCCTGAGATAGTACCGAGGCTCACAAGTGGCTCTTACAACATATTTCCATTTACTACTGCTCCTGTAAGAAATTCCTAGGTATACACGAATGAAAGATGTACTCGCTTGGTGGTGTGGAGTTCACTGTTCCCTCTTGCAATAACAGACTTGTCTGTTTGCTTACCCTACAGATGTCCTCGACCTTTGTTTCTGCAGAAATGTTGGCCAACTATGCTGGTAGGAAATGGAGGTCCTGTCTAATTGGGTTTGCCTGGTTAGAGATAAATCCACTGTACCTTGGGAATCCTCTTAAGTTGTCTCCAAGCAGTTTGACACAGTTGCTAAGGGCTCATAAAGCTCATGTACTGTGAAACGTTTCGTGGAACGTTTTGGAAGTTATTTAGTCTCCCAATAAGTTTCCACATCCAGCATGCCACCACAGTGGGCCCTCAGGCCACTTTCATCTAGCAGACTCTGGTCTAACTTCAACTGTCTAGTTTCAGCAGCGTGGACCTCTGGGGGTGAAACTTGTCGGTTCTAGTGGTCTTAACACCCTTTGCTTTAACTTTGAAGTCTTTCACACATCTAGCCTTGTCAGAGTGGCTCCGTACTTTCCCACTCAGTGGGCCACATGCCCTGGTAGCCTTTCTTCCCACAGATATGAGGTTCCTTGGGTTTAATGACAGTATCTCCCTTTTTAGGTACCCTATAAAAGTGTCTCCCCAAGGTGACTGAGTGTTCATCACTCCCTACTTGGTTCACCTTACCTGGCAGTTGATCGTGTATACTAATGCTCATTATCGCTACTCCCCCAGCTATCATGGTCTCAGATTTTCCCTTTGCTGGTGTTGCAGGGAATTCAGGTGGAATCTTGCTACTGATGATATATCCTACTGGGGATCCGTATAAACTGATTCCTTCCTTTATAGTCGATCGAGTGAGCAGGAAGTCATCCATCTGGCTGGCTCTCACCAGGATACCTACATTCCTGACTGTGTCAGTGGTAATTCCCTTTTCTGCCAGCTTTATGCCAAGGTCTTTCAACCACCTGGCTGCTGCAACAAGACCTGTGGGCGTAATTGCCGTGGGTAGTGTCTTTACTACCAAGGCGGTAACATTTCTGCAATGCCCACTTCCACAACATCACAAGATTTGGGCGGGATCTGATTTATAGCTCCTCTCAGTGTCATATTAACTCTGCTGGTGACCTTCAACTTTAATTTAGCCACCAACATCTCTGTTATCATGGACACTTGTGCTCCCATTCAAAGACTAATCGGGTTGTTTCGGACTTGTTCCCGTTCACAACCCCTGCCATGACTGTAGGTAGGACAGCACCTCTGTAATTCTCACTCGGAATATAGGCTTCACCCACATTAATCGCGTTGGCTACCACCTCAGGCTCGGAGCTTTCTATCTCTACCTGAGAAACATCCCTACTAGCCTGGGATTCCTTTAAATTATTGGGACTAGTGCAGTATGGTGCTTACCTTTCCGGCAGTTATAGCACTCCCAAAGATGTGCCCTGCAATCTTCTGCCTCGTGTCCCGTACAGCACGTTAAGCATAGCTGCAACTTGTTTAGTCTCCGTTACCTACTGCTCAGTGTTTTATGCTTTGAGCAACTCGTGCTAGTGTGTTGACCTTCGCAGAATATGCATATTCTAGTAAGAGTGCCTCTGAGGTTCTGCTCAGAGGCTCTTGCATTAAGCACTTCTTGGTCATAATACACTCCAACGTTAGTCTTATGAGCCTTACATTGATCTCCTGAGTTCTTTGAGTAACTATCTACTTTTTTACATTGTAATGTTGGTGACTCTTCTCTCCACATATACTCGAAGAAAAAGAGATCTCCCAACCCTCATAATCTGTTGTATGTAAAGTTTGTGGCCCCCGTGCCTTTTTTAACGTGGGGTTTCCTTTTTATCAGAACTTTTTTTTCCTTTAAAATCCCTAAGGGGGAGTTTTTTCCACTCTTCTTTTTTTTCACAAAAAAAGGGCTTTGGGCCGTGTAAATGTTTTTAGGGGAATCCATAACAGCAATTTCCCAAGCGGGTAGGGAAAATTTAGGTGGTTTTGCAAAGTATATCCCCCCAACGTTACTTCTTCAAAAAGTATCGATGACAGGAATACCCCCGAAACAGTTAATTTTTGCAAAAACCTTATTTCCCAAAAACTTTAGAAAAAGAAATCAAAAAAGGCTCCCAACAAAAAACCCGTGCGAAGCGGGGAATGAAACTAACGGCTTTTAACATCCCAATGAACACATAAAAAATGGCAAATTGAAAAAGCCCAAAAGCTAACGTTCCTCCCCCTTAAAAAACCCCCAACCGTTTTTTTTAATGCTCCAAACCCCGGACCCCCCTTTTTTCGCCTGTTTCAAACCCCTGCCCCGGGGAAGGGAGAAAAAAAACCACGAAAAAGTTTAAAATTACCCTTCCCCAAATTAGCAGAAATTTTACCTATTAAAAAATAATGCCGTCCAAAAGGGGAAAAATAGAAGAAAAGTCAACCGGCTAACCCCCCAAAATGGGTGAAACGCGGGGCGGTACCACTAAGCTTTGCCCCCACCTTTTATTCTAAAACCCTCCTATTAACTTTGGGGCCCCTCACCAATTTACCCGGTTGTTTGGGGGGGAGATGCCTTTGGGGGTTGTCCATGCCCGAAAAAAAGGGTTCTTTCTTTCCCAATTTAGTCTTATGACCTTTAATTGATCCCCTGAGTTCTTTGAGTAACTATCTACTTTTTAACATTGTAATTTGGTGACTCTTCTCTCTCACATATCTCGAAGAAAACAGAGATCTCCCAAACCCCCAAAAATCTGTTTTTATTGTAAACCGGTTGTCCGGGATTTCAAATGTAACTCGTTCACTTATGCTAGCAGTTTTCTCGAAAACCCGCTGACGAACCCCTTTGATTTACCCCATCGGAAACTTGAGACTACTTGTCAAAAACCATAACGCGTGTGGGAAATTCCTAAGCTCTGCATCGTGCTGAACCTCTAGATCCAACAACCGATACCATTTCACCTTTTTTCCTAGTGTGCCAAACGTCCTTTTAAATTTGGGCTTGGGATGTTGGTAATTAGTGTCAGTGGTTTGGTAGTGCCGGTCCAAGTCTAAGACTGTGATCGTAAATACAGTAATTTGACGGCATCCGGCAAATCGTTTCTGTCATCTATCTGGGTCTTGAACTGATCCCAGAAAGCAATGTGCTCTGTCAAGGTTCCATCACACGTTGGTAAATTCAACTGGGGCAGTCTGGGCAACATATTAACAGGCGTGTGGCTGCTCGTGGCCCCGACAGTGTTAGTCGCCCCCTTGGTATACTAGCCTTTAATGTTTTTAGTTTATCCTTGTACGCTTCATCTCATGACAATCCTCATCATCTTTGAAGAATTCATCCTCAGCTTCCTTGAGACTATCATGGAGTTCATCGTCCTCAATGGCCTGTTGCTCATATACTGAAAATGCTTGCTCGTAGGCCTCCCATTTTTCCCCTAAATGCTTCAAGCAGCCTTGCAGATCAATGCAGTCTACATTACTGTGTTGACTAGTAGCCTAACACCTGTTGTGGGAAGTGGCATGACCATGACACGCAGGTCATATGCTTTTAATTAAAGTGTTGATGTAGAAGCAAACAAGACGCCATTGCCCTTCCTGAAAGGGTCTTCCTTATGGGGCTGAAAGGAGCTGAAAGGGCAGATACTCCCCCTCCCTTCCTGGAGAAAATTTCTCCACAGCAGAGTACCATGAGTAACAAATTATCGTCTACATGGCGTTGTGTAAGAACCAGACAGAGGGCCCAGCGAGCCAATCAGTTCTACCGACATCCATGAATCAAAGGATATTCCTCGTTACACTATATTATAATTATAAAACCTTTTCAATTTACCTTCTGAGCAAAGAGCTTGTAGTTGCTAACATTATGATTCACCATTCCAGATACCTTTTGAAGATCTGAAGTGACCTGGACTGTGAAATTCCCTTTTGACATTAGGAAATCTCATATATTCCATCAGGTTAATTAAGGATATATCCATTGAATGAGATCACCGAAACATTGTTAATAACAAAGAAGGATATTGTTGCCATTAAGATACTTAACTAGATGTTAATATATTTCTTTTTCTAGTATTTTAGACATAACATTAAGCATACTAGCAGACCTTCAGTTACTGACTCGCCGGTCTGTTTCTCTTGTAAACTGGAGCAACTCTAGCCGCTTTGAGTTCGTCTGGAAAGGTACTAGAGAAGATGAATAAATTTATTTTGTGACTTATGAATACCTAAGATTCGGAGACTCTATCTTTCATAAAGTTGGTTGGAATATTATCAGGTTCATTTCCTTTGATTGGTTTCAACTTAATTATTTTTTTTTTTACAAAATCATAAGTTATTCCCGATAGCTGTAAATTATGGTAGTAATTTCACCAAAGTGGAAGTGGTAAGGTGATATCGGTAAGTTGTAGGTACAACAATAATTTTGCAATAATTTGATTCTTTAACGAAACTGTTTTATGACCCCGAGTGTTTGGTGACCGGTGATGATGCCACAGTCAGGGCAAGCATCATCACCCGCCTCTCTGTATTTACCTATGATGTTAAAACTATTTCTTAATAGTTATTCTCAAAGAATTTTAATAGTTGCAAATAAATACTATTTATTTATACAACCCATTGTGTACTACCTCTATTAATACTACTACTACTTGCTGCTAGCTACTACTACTACTGCTGCTACTACTACTATTACTACTAATTCTACTTCTGCTACTAATACTGCTGCTGCTGCTGCTGCTACTACTACTGCTACTTCTATTACTACTATTGCTACTTCTACTGCTACTTCTAATAGTATTTCTACCACTACTACCTTTCAGCAGTGTCCTAACGTGTGGTACTACATATCCTCAGATCACACGGGCTCAAAGTACCTTGGAACTGGAGCAGATCATTCGTACCGTGACCAAGGAGAGGCTACAACTTGAGAGGCACCTGGCTGCTGCTAGCGAGGTGAGTATCCCATCATGACAACAGTTAGGATTAAGAACAGAAATACTAGAGAAATACCACCGTGGTTCTCCTGGCTCATTCTAGGCATGTCTTACTCACACTCAAGGCCATTCGGATTGGTGTTCTTCGCTTAGCCGCCCCGATACTCACAGAACATAGGTGTATTTGCGGCAGGGCGACGGCTGATCAATTCGGATTTCATGGTTTCGTGTATCACACATCAGAAGGAAAGTATGCTAGACATGAGGGGGTCAACACCACCATAAAGAGAAGCCTCGCCACAGTCCGTTGCCCAACTCAATGGGAACCCCAAGTACAGAGGTCTGACGGAAGTCAAAAGCATCTTGATGGAGCCACTATGCTACCCTGGAAAGATGGTAAGCAGATTGCCTGGGACTACTCCTGTGAAGACACCTACTTGCCATACTCTGAAGCTGAACGAGGTGGAGCTGCCAGCTGCAGGGAGACCCAAAAATCCTGCAAATATGAAGGCACTATAACTTCATCCCAATAAGGTCGGAGACCCTTGAAGCATGGGGGAAGTGTGCTCTAAAGTTCCTCAAAGAACTGGGCGAAAAACTCGTCAGAGAAACCAAGGATCACAGAGCGGACAGCTTCCTCTTTCAGAGACTCAGTGGTGCGATCCAGAGGCGAAATGCCTGCAGCATTCTGGACACAGCTCACCGCCGGGGAGATGGACGAAGTATTCAAGTTGTAACTCTGAGATGTTGTTCATGTTCTTCTACTCCCTATTGCATTTTTGTTAATGTATTTTGTCTGTCTGTATATATATTAATATATATATTATTATATATATATATATATATTATAATATATATAAATATATATATATATAATATATAAAAAAATTTTAAATATTTTAAATTATTTATTTTATATAAAATTATAATAATATTTTTAATATATATATATATATAATATATATATATTAAATATATTATATATATATATATAGTATATTTTTGAATCATTTTATTGCAGATGATCCGCAATGCCCCAAGGCATTTTAAAAGGGAGGGTTTTTTTAGGCATGGGGGGAAGAGGAGGGGAGGGGGGAAGGGAGAGAGGAAACGGAGATGGTAAAAAGAAAAATAATCTTACAAGCACTGCATGACTTGTGTATTTATTTTTCAGATTAAAACTCCTAGTAGGCGAAATTTTTCTGATGGTAGGTACCTAAGGTCCGAGGTTGCACCTGTGTTTTTACGCGTCGTTTGTGATATTAATACCACATATACCAGTACACACTCCAAACCATCGATCTAAATGCACACCAAAGCAGTACCAGGCTGAAAATGCTAAAACAATACAACTAAACTACAACTACTGCAACTACAAATAAACAATTTACTAAAAACAAATACTACACAACTACTTACAACTCTATACAACTACTACAACTACATACAACACTACAACTACTATTACAAAACTACTACAACTACTACTACTAAACACAACAATATTACTACACCTACTACTACTCCCCAACTACTACTACACCACAACACTACCCCATACTACTACACCTACAACTAAAAACATTTACACCACAACCCCACCTACTACTACACCTACTACAAAAAACTCAAAACAACAACTACTATAACTACAACTACTAAACCCTCAACGTCTACCAACAACGACAGTAAAACCCAACAACAACACTGAAAACCACTATTTCCCCCAAAAAAAAGTAATCACCCATAAAACAGAAACACTACCCCCAACAAGAATAGAAATCTATTACCATAATTCAAAAGCAAAATAAATTTTAAAAAAAAAATTAAAAAAAGCTACATTTTTAGTATGTGGGGTGTGGTGTGTGTTTGTGGTGTGGGGTTTTGGTTTTGGGTGGGTGGTGTGTGGTGTGTGTGGCGCGCTCACCTATTTGAATTCGCATTTTTGTGGTTGCAGGGTTCGAGTCGCAGCTCCTGGCCCCAGTTCTTTGCTGGCTGCCACTGGTCCAAATCCCTCCCTGTCTTGGTTTTTTGTTGGGGGTTCGACTTGTATATGTGTATGTGTTATAAAACGGTGTTTGGGGCATTATAGAGGGCTACCGCATGGGCTTCAGTAGACAGAATATCGCAAGTAAGGTTAATTACAATGGGCCGCTTCTCTTCAACATCAGAGATTTAAGCAATTTTAAAAGCATGTTTTTCCCCGCCGACGAAATTCCCAAAAGAATACATACTGTACCACCCCTTTTACGTCATGACATACGAAGTGCTCACCTCTAGGATGCCTAATTTTTTTTTCAGAATGGATACAACACCGAGATGAAAAATTCCACATGGGGAAAATCTGGGGATTTTATTTGTAACGTTTTTGCCACCTTGGTTTTTCATTACAAATTCAAATGAATTTTAATATTGGGATTGAAAAGGTACTGAATGGAGAACCCTCTACAAATAGATGCCAATGTTGTGTTTAACCCCAACATCCCAAATTTTTCAAGGGTCGGAAAAACCCTTTTAGAACCTAATTTAAAGCATAAGGAACAAAAAAGGCACAATACCCTGACTGGAAAAATACATATGTAACTCTCACACAAGAAGAGCTAGGAAAGTGTTTATACAGACTGATAAACACAAAAATGTCCCCAGGCTTTGTTGGGAAATATTTTTCTTCCCCTTTGCAATGAAACACCCATTTCAGAAGGGGGTTTCGGTGGTTCGATCCCCCGGAACATCGGAAACGTTGGGCATTTCGTTACACCTGCTGCCCCTGTTTACCTCGGTAAAAATTAGGTACCTGGGTGTTAGTCGACTTGTGGTGGGGCCCGGGGGGATGGTATACCTTGGGTCTGGGGTTTTGCGAGAGCTCAAACGTAACAGATCTTAGCTTTTAAAAAAAAAAGTCTGGAAAAAGGTTTTGGTCGTTGCGAGATCAGAGGTTATTTGCGCATCCAATGGGCTCAGTCTCTCCAGCCTCACTGCATGGAAAAAAGGAAAAGTGCAAAGTGCGTCGTATGTGAAAACATACCAGCCCTGAGAGTTTGAAGCCAACTAGATGATGTTTCTCTAATTATCTCAAAAAAAAAAAAAACTTTCAGTAACTTAGGAAAGTGGCAGATGTGTAGCTACACATCTGCCACTAAAATTATTTTACGAAAAAAAATTATCAACATTTTAAATTAAAACTGTTAAAACGGCCCTATCACACTAGAATAACAATCCTTCTTCTAAGCAGGATTGCTGTGTGACCCTTGAGGGTTTAGCGCATAGTAATGTTTATAATAATTCTGTGACCGGTGTTTAAATATGAAGTTTCTCAGAAGAGGCTTGCTAGAATCATAGCACCGAAATCTAAATCAGGAACAATCTACACAAACTTGATCACTAGGCACCTAGACCTTCGAAAAAAAATTCAGGGATGCCTAAAAAATTAGGGATACCTAAAAGTCAGGGATGTGTAAAAATAAGGGTTACCTAAATAATCAGATACCTAAAAAATCAGGGATACCTAAAAATCAGGGATACTTAGAAATTTACATTTGACATAGAACTGAATTCGTATACAACGACAATAGGAAACAACTCTTAAGATATTTTTTTATTTTACTTTGGTTCATGGAGCCCTTGCAGACCTTCCATGAACCACTGGTTAAGTACACCCACTCTAGAGCCACTGTCACTGTAGTGTCATTCTCAGTGGGTAAAATAAATGAGTCATCCTTAGTGGCATGAATCGTAAAGATGATGTTGATGCTTGAGATGGCGCCGGACTGAAGAGTGTGTGTAGTTACTAGTTGTCAGTGGCATTTGTCGATACACTTGGCCTGCTGTGTGTGTGTGTGTGTGTGTGTGTGTGTGTGTGTGTGTGTGTGTGTGTGTGTGTTTGTGTGTGTATGTGTGTGTGTGTATGTGTGTGTGTGAATGTGTGTGTGAATGTGTGTGAGAGAAATGGAAAGATGCACTTCTCTCTATGTACAAACACTGGAACACACACAACAGGTGAACAGGTGGCATGCAGTAGTAGATAAATTTTAAACCCCACTAAAGACCTGGACCCAAAAGTATTTCAGGTCCACGAGGAATATTAGAGGAGACAGTACACAAATAACCCGCACATAGAAGAGAGGAGCTTACGACGACGTTTCGGTCCGACTTGGACCATTTACAAAGTCACACTAGAGAAAGGAGCTTACGACGACTTTGTGTGACTTTGTAAATGATCCAAGTCTATCCGAAACGTCGTCGTAAGCTCCTCTCTTCTATGTGCGGGTTATTTGTGTATTGTTCCAGTGACTTTATTTAGAGAAGACAGACTATTCGTTATTTATATAATGAGTACACACACGCGAATTCATTCGTGGAATTTTTCACAAGTTGCCGGTAGTTATTTTGCCTCCTCGCTTCACTCATTATCACTAGTGTTGCCATCTACTGCGTATGATGTTTGTGGCAGCAGTACAGTCATTTTGTGCAAGTGCTGCCATCTGTTGTGGATGTTTGGTTGCAGCAGCACCAACAGAGTGGTTGTCGCAGTAAGGGGGAGGAGCAGGATGTTAGAGGCGCCAGAGCAGCATTAACAACCAACACGCCGCTCATTTGTCATAGTGGACACCAGTAGCGAGAGCTTCTTTTTATTTTGCTGTTCTCTAAGTGTATATATATGCATGTGTAAGTATACATATGTATGTACGTTGTGTGTACCTCCTTGAATGTACCTCTGAGTATTTCCTATTCACATCCATCGAATAACTGCCCCTTTCGATTATTACCTTCCAAAACAAACGCCTAGATGGAGGAAAAGGGCTCTGGATTCTGTATTCCATAACCCCAGCCACACGGACTCAATGCACGCGAAAGAATAGTGCAGAGCGCGGCAAAAGTTCCAAATGCTTTTGAATATTAGTCAAAATTTTGAAGATAATTATAAGAAGCATTCGTAAATTTTCACAAAGAAGTTACATACCATCGATTTTC